CCCCCCCCCCCCTCTCCCCTCTCCCCCGCGCTTCCGAACTTTGCGGGTTGCTCAGATGTGCGAAGCTCCGAAGATTTATTGCTGACCCTCTGTTCCAGGGCCTGAAGTCTCGGATCCTAAGTATAATCCTCATTTGTTGCAGGGCGGTTGCATGAATCAGGGGTGCAGTATGCAGTGTCTTACGCCATGTCCGCTCTTGCTGCGAGGTAGTGATTGTAGATATTCCCATAAGGGTTCCTTTGAGACTTCCTAGAAGGGCTCCTTCATGCACTTCCAGAGTTCCTTTCAGGGCTCCTCCATGGGACCCGGCGGAATTGCTCGTGTTGCATGGAGGTCAAGGATGTCATGCCGGCCGACGAGGCAGAAACGGGAATTGCAAAGTTGCGAGTTTTCCGGTAATGGAGGGGCCTCAATAACTACCTATTGCTGTTTTTAGGATTATCCTATAGAAGAGCCCAAGACCTTATTCTAATCATTAAGGCCCCTACATTATGTTGCTATATGTTGCTAGGATGTTTGTGGATGATGGTCTCACGCACGTGAGCATTGCTGTCGTTATCATCGTTATGCATTTGGCTGCTGGAGTTACGGTTGTTTTCGTGCGCGCCACTACCTACTATCCATGTGGATAGCCTTACTTCGTCCCCATCTTTACTCTAAGCCTAAACCCTAAACCCTAAACCTTAGCAGTAGTTCGTTTGTCAGCGTTTCGAAGAGCGGTCAGCACTTTTGTGGTGCGCGGGCCTGCTGCGGAATCAGGAGGAGAACTTAATCAGGCGAAGAAAAACCCTAAACCCTAAACCCCGCTAAACCCCGCTAAACCCCGCTAAACCCTGCAGAGGTGGCTTCATGTAGCCGACGAACTTATGCTTCCCAGCCTCCCGAAAAGCCCTTTGCGGTTGCCAGAAGCGACACCATAGATACACCCTGAGGCCACAAAAACTCTATATATGGGCCCAATACTATTTTGGGGTTCCTCATTCTAGATACAGTATAATATACACCAAAATCCTATTCTAGTTATTAAGGCCCCTACATTAGCCACCAAACAGAAAGCCACGGCAGCTTGGGAAGGAGTAGCCTGGCCGCCGGCACACATGCAGCCAGGGACTGAGAATTCGCCTGGCCGTTTTGTGTTTGGTCGCAGGTTTCACGGGCGTTGCGGGTTTAGGGTTCAAGCGGTTTTGAGAGGTTTTCTTAAGGTCTTAAGGGTTGGAGGCCTGGAGGGGTTTGGATCAACAACAGTTGTACTTGTACTCGTACTACCAGTAGTGTTGCTACTGCTGCTGCTGCTGCTGCTGCTGCTGGCAGTACGAGTACTACTACTCCCAGTACGACGACGACTACTACTACTAGGACTACTACGACTACTACTTCTACGACGACTACTACTACCAC